TAAACCAAGACTAAATCAGGGCTAAACAAGGACTAAACCAGGACTAAGACAAAATTAAACCAGGACTAAACCAGAATTAAACCAGAATTAAACCAGGACTAAACCAGAATTAAACCAGGACTAAACCAGAAGTAAATCAGGACTAAATCAGAATTAAACAAGAACCAAACTAGGACTAACCAGGACTAAAACAGAGCTAAACCGGAACTAAATCAGGACTAAACCAGAACTAAAACAGGACTAAACTAGACCTAAATCAGGACTAAACCAGAATTAAACCAGGACTAAATCAGGAGTAAACCAGAAGTAAATCAGGACTAAATCTGAATTAAGCAAGAATTAAATCAGGGCTAAACCAGTACTAAACCAGTACTAAACCAGGACTAAACCAGAATTAAACCAGGACTAAACCAGAATTAAACCCGGACTGAATCAAAACTAAACCAGGATTAAGCAGAACTAAATCAAGACTAAACCAGAATTAAACTAGAACTAAACCAGAATTAAACTAGAACTAAACCAGAACTAAATCAGGACTAAACCAGAACTAAAACAGGACTAAACTAGACCTAAATCAGGACTAAACCAGAATTGAACCAGGACTAAATCAGGACTAAATCTGAATTAAGCAAGAATTAAATCAGGGCTAAACCAGTACTAAACCAGGACTAAACCAGGACTGAATCAAAACTAAACCAGAATTAAACGAGAACTAAACCAGGACTAAACCAGTACTAAACCAGGACTAAACCAGGACTGAATCAAAACTAAACCAGAATTAAACTAGAACTAAACCAGAACTTAATCTGGACTAAACCAGAACTAAATCAGGACTAAAACTGGACTAAACCTGAGCTAAACACAAACTAAACACGGACTAAACCAGGACTAGACATGAACTTACTTATAAACTGTATAATATCAGACTTTTTTTCTTTTTTTTTTCCATTATTTTGACCTAAAAACATCACTTTGTTGCTTTTGCTTTTTGCTTTTTTCACATATATGTTGTTATTTACATTTTCAGTAATGTTTAGTATTTCTATCTTCATAATTAAACTTCACAATATATTAAAATACAAACAGAGATATTAAAAAGTAAATTATTTGAGTTCATTCCTGTGTTAGTGGTTCGACATTTCCAAATCCACGGTTCATTTGGTTCGTTTTAAATAGTTTTCGGCTCATATTTGGTTTCTAGAGTTGCCGTCTGCTTGCAACAGCTGATTTGTCGAAAAACATTTGATTTGATGCGTGTATCGATGAGTCTCGGTTTCCTGTTGGTTTGGGTTTTTGCAGTGCGTACGAGTGTGTCTGATTAAAGTAGCAGAGTTGCTGGTTGTGAGTTGATAGAGTGATTTGTTTTGGTGGTCGGAGCCGCAGCTTTAGAGAAGTCTCCGAGCGGTCAGAGCGCGGCTGTGTCTGGAATACAGACCGGGGGCACACTCGAGTCCCGCTAACAGTGAAATACAGCTCAGAATCCACACGGATACTGCCAGGACTAAACCAGGACTAAACCAGGACTAAACCAGGACTAAACCAGGACTAAACCAGGACTAAACAAGGACTAAACAAGGACTAAACAAGGACAAAACGAGAATTAAACTTGGACTAAACAAGGACTAAAGCAAGACGAAATCAAGACAAAAGCAAGACTAAACCAGGACTAGATCAGGACTAAACCAGGGCTATGCAAGAACTAAACCAGGACTAAACCAGGATTGGATCAGGACTAAACTATTACTATACCAGAGCTAAGTAAGGACTAAACCAGGACTATACCAAGACTAAACTTGGACTAAACCAAGACTAAACCCAGACTAAACCTAAACCCGGACTAAACCCAGACTAAACCCAGACCAAACCAGGACTAAACCGGGACTAAAGCAGGACTAAACCAGAATTAAGCCTAAACCAGAACTAAACCAGAACTAAACTTGGACTAAACTTGGTCTAAACTCAGACTAAACCAGGACTAAACCTGGGCTAAACCCAAACTAAACCAGAACTAAACTTGGACTAAACTTGGTCTAAACTCAGACTAAACCAGGACTAAACCAGAACTAAACCTAAACCAGAAGCAAATCAGGACTAAACCCAGGCCAAACCCAGACCAAACCAAGACTAAACCAAGACTAAACCAGGACTTAACCAGGACTAAAGCAGGACTAAAACAGGGCTAAACCTGGACTAAACCTGGACTAAACTTGGACTATACCTAAACCAGTGCTAAACCTGGATTGAACCTGAACTAAATCAGTACTAAACCTGGACTATACCAGGACCAAACTAGGACTAAAACCAGGTCTAAACCAAGACTAAACCAAAACTAAACTTGGACTAAACCGTGACTAAACTAGGGCTAAACCAGAACTAAACCAAGACTAAACCAGGACTTAATCAGGACTAGAACAGAACTAAACCTGGACTAAACCCAGACTAAACCAGGACTAAACCTAAACCAGTACTAAACCTGGATTGATCCTGAACTAAACCTGGATTGATCCTGAACTAAACCAGGACTAAACCAGGACTAAACCAGGACTAAACCCAGACCAATCAATCCAAACAAGGTTCCTCATTTACCAAGCATTTCCTCATGTCCAAAACAGCACTAAAAGTTAAAAATCTATCACCAAAAAAGATAAAAGCTCAGTTTTGCTCGTTTGACTGGAAGTAAACCGGGACATTTTTGCGAGGTGTGAACAAACGCAGTTGCTAAGCGGCTGCTCCCCGACACATCGCGTCTACGAGAGCTAAAACTGTATGACGATTCATCACGACGGAGAGACAGGTGTTATTTTAAACGCTTTCAAATGACCCACAAGGACGGATGGGATAATGACACGCTGTTACCGACGCAGCGGTGTTGAAATCTCACTCTTTACCTGAGGCACAAGACAGATCGTAACTGCAAAAGACCCCAAAGAATCACCATAAAGTTGTACCTTAATGTGACAGTAAATAAATGAGTGTGTCAGAAAGAGACCTGAGACTCCTGATGGTGCATTTAGATTGTAATTTTATGCCGCGTCTTAAAGGTTCTGATGTTTTTCTTTTATGTAACACCCCTTTTTTTATTCATAGGCCTTATATATTCTCTTATTTCTGCTCAATTGCAACTTCTCTGTGTTTTCTTTTTATATAAGCACATGTTTATTTATTGCTGATCCTGATTCTAACTGTTGGAAAATCCTAAACTATATTAGAGCTGAACGATCTATTGTTTTGGACCGAAAATCAAGATTTTGGGAGCGTCAAAGTCAAGTTTTGTTTTCTTTGCTCCTGACTGACCCAGGTTTTGTTTCGTGAACTATTTCACACATGTTTGCATCGTCAACAACCCTCTGTCGCAGAAAGAACACACATGTTCCCCTGAGTCGTGTCCTTTACGCCCCATCTACACTAGTACTTATTCGAGTCGTTTTCGTTGCGGATGCAGTGTTCCTCCACGCTAATGCGATTTAAAACTGCTTCCAGAACGCTGATACGCTGACATACATCTATGCATCTCGAAATAATTCACCGCCAAAATGCTAAGAGGCTAGAATATATGTCCATTCATATATACGATCTATGTGTACGACCTGCAGACAACATGAACCATCTCCAACGCGATAGAAACACAGAACAGACTCACCATCAGCAGAACACCCCTCTGTCACAGAAAGAACACTCATATTCCACTGAGTCGTGTCCTTTAGTCCGACAGAAGCTGAACTGCATCAGCGCACAATATCGAGCTGTTTTTTGAGCGCTCAGTTTATGGAAATTAGCCATGAGGTTTTAAGTTTTGTTTCCGTAAAACGTAAACAAATGTGCTCAAAGTTGTGTGGAGAGGGAAGGATTGTGGATACAGAAACGACGTGTCTGGATGCAAATCGTTTCCGATGCGGCACGGCTATACAGCGATACGGTGATACGTTTCAGTGTAAATGTAGTCTTAGTCCGGCGTCAGCGCTCTAGCTGTTTTTTTCAGTGAAAGTTTATGCAAAATAGCCATGCGGTTTTAAGTTTCTTTTCTGTAAAACGTAAATAAATGTGCAGAAAGCTGAATTAAACAACTCAAAAGGGCTGATGTGGCTCTACAGTGGTTATGGTTTATATGTTGTAAAGTTGATTTTATTTATGCAGATTACTAATAGTAATAATAATGATGAATATTTTAATATAAAATGTTAATGATTAATCAAAGACCTGGTTTAGACCTGGTTTAGTCCTGTTTTAGTCCAGGTTCAGTCCTGATTTAGTCTTCCTGGTTCTGTCCTGGGATCACTCCTGGTTTAGTCCTTGTTCAGTCCTGGTTTACAGCTCGTTTAGACCTGGTTTAGTCCTGTTCAGTAGTGGTTAGTCCTGATTTAGACCTTCTTTAGACCTGGTTTAGTCCTGGTTTAGACCTTCTTTAGACCTGGTTTGGTCCTGGTTTAGTCCTGGTTTAGACCTAGTTTAGACCTGGTTTAGTCCTGTTCAGTCCTGGTTTAGTTCTGATTTAGTCCCAATTTAGTCCTTCTGGTTTAGTCGTGGGATTATGCCTGGTTTAGTCTTGTTGAGTCCTGGTTTAGTCCTGTTCAGTCCTGGTTTAGTCCTCCTGGTTCAGTCCTGGGATCACTCCTGGTTTAGACCTGGTTCAGTCCTGATTTAGTCCTGATTCAGTCCTGGTTTAGTCCTGGTTCAGTTTCTGTGATGTTTGCAAATGTTCCTGCGCACTGAATCGTAATTTGAAAAAAAAATTGTGGATGAAATCAAAACCGCAATATCTGCCAGAAAAATCACAATAATTTTTTTTCTTAAAATCTTTAGCCCTAAACTATGTTAAGTCCGTTATACCTGAGTTTTCTTCTCCGATCGTCGTTTCCTGCTTCGTGCTTTCATATCTCTGGTTCAAATCTCTGGTTCAAATTTGGTTGTGTAACGTGAATATATGGAGCTTTACTGTCAGCTTATATAACAAACCCTTTTCCTTTCACTTTATCAACAAACTTTAAATCTCCCTTTGTCAGGCTGAGCACCGGAGAGGGCGACGGAGCCTGGTGTCCTGCTGGAGCTGTCTTCCCGTCCGGATCAGAATATCTTCAGGTGGGATTTACATTTTGGTCTTCCATTAAAGAGGTATTATGTAACTTTTCTGCTTGGGGGTCAGGAAGCTGCTCGTCTTCATGCAGATGTTTCAAAAGCTCCACAGTATGGCATTAAACGTATCTTGCGGTTATTCAGTGGTTCAAACTGTGAGCTCGCCTCTCCACAGATATGACCAGTACCTTAACTTGGTGCTGTCAGTGTCTCTATGGAGAAAGATAAGTGCCAAACTGTGGAAAATTACAGACTTATTTTGTTTATTTATTTATTTATTTTGCCCGTGTATAATATAATAATAAAAACACTAACATTAATTAAAAAATAATAATAATTACACACTTTTGATTAAGGCTACGTTTATATGATGACGGTCTGAACAGAAGACACAAAAAATGAAAACTTCGCACATCAATCACTAGAGATGGTTGCGTCAGAGGAGAGGGAGGAACATAAAGAAAAATCCCGCACACCGTCCCACAAAAAATCTTCCATACAAGCTTTAAAAGTGCTGTATGAGAATATTATCAAAACCAAAAATTCTATTCAAAATTTTTAATAGAGGTGTAAACTGTAAACTGCTTTCTTTTTACTTTTTTCACATATTGCCAAACAATATCCTCTATGACAACAAATACATTCACTCAACTAACACAAAAAGTATCGTACTGTGGCTTTATCTTCCTCTGTTTCTTGTCTCCAGGTGGACTTGCGTAAACTCCATTTCCTGGCCCTGGTGGGGACTCAGGGTCGTCACGCCGACGGACACGGACGAGAGTTTGCCCGGAGTTACAGACTCCGATATTCACGGGACGGAGTCAAATGGATCACGTGGAAAGATCGCTGGGGCCAAGACGTACGTGGATCAGCCTCACTCAGACCAGACTCACGCAGATACTCTGAGATCATGTTCAATAGATTTTTCAATAGATTTTTTCAGAAGTGTCGAGATGTCGGGTAAAAGTCACTTACGTTCATGCTTTTCTATGGCGAAATATCTGTGGAAATTTTCCTCCAGCTTTATAAATCTGCCCCATCACCAAATTTTCATCCAACAAAGTGAGGAAAGGACATATTCTGTCCATGAAGAATTTATTCACAACTGTCAAGGTAATTTAAGGGCGAACAACGACAGACATTAATGAACTACTCCTGAACAAAACTAACAGTATGATCATGAATAAAACATAAGTAACTTATTAACTCAGATTGTTTCTAGAATTAAAATGAAAAATCGATTTCATGATGTAGATACTTGCATAAACAGAGATTTGTGCAGTTTAAATGCGAGACATGTAATCTGTGAACATCTGTAGCATTCAAACTGCACACATTTCATTATTTATGCTAATATCTACATCATGAAATCGATTTTTAATTTTAATTTAGAATCAGTCTGAGTTAACAAGTTACTTATGTTTTATTCATGATCATACCGTTAGATTTGCTCAGGAGTAGTTCACTAATGTATCGTCGTTGTTCGTCTTTATGTTTTCGTCTTTCTTACCTTGATAGTTGTGAATCAATTCTTCTTGGGAGAATGTTTATCCTTTGTCGATCTTGATGGATGAAGATTTGGTGATGGGGCAGATTTATGAAGCCGGTGGAAAATACCCAAGACATTTCCACAGATATTTTGCCACAGAAAATCATTAACGTACCGTATTTTCCGGGCTATTAGACACACTCTTAAGCCTCTAACTGCGTCAAAAAATGACCGCACGCCCCGCAATCCAGAGCGCCCCATTCACGAATCCACTCGGGTGTCCCAGCACGACTTCAGTAAACTATAAAGCCGCACCACCCGCAAAACACACACGGAGCAGACAGCGACCGCGCAGCGAAAAACACCCGCAGCCACACTCATCACTCCACGCAGACAAGGCACGAAACGAAGGAACGAACCGAAAAAGCGAGTCCAATGTGCCACTTCTAGACACAACTGAACAACTGAGTCACTGCGAACACGCCGACAATCCAGCGGTCCCAGACAGCACCCTCCCTACACGCCACAACTGAACAAAGCCCAGAGTCACCGTGAACGCGCCAAACAAAGTCCGACCGATCCATCCAACTGTTGTGTTTCCTTTAAAGTCCAGTGCGGATTATTTGTGAAAAAAGTTCGAAAATAGACCATTTTATGACGTCTTATAATCCAGAGCGCCTAATAGCCCGGAAAATACAGTAAACGATATTTACCCTACATCACGGCACTTCGGGCTGTTGTGAAAAAGGTCTATAGGCTTATTTATTCATTCTGATTTCGTAGATAGACCAGATAGCCACCGATTTGACACTACTTTGGATTAGATTTTTCAGGGACCCTATTCATGGGTTTCAAGTTTAAGGATTCCTTTCTTGATGTGAAGTAGTTGGCCTGGCAATGGTCCTCTGCATTTCAAATCAAACTCTTCTCTCTTTTGAACAGGGGCGTGGGACTGGGAGGTAAAGAGTTTTGTTTCCCCAGGGTCCAGGACAGGGAAGGGAATTCAGAGGCTTTTAATGATTATTTCCTCAATTACGTTCCTCTACGTTTTAATCTATTTTAGTTGTAATCACATCCATTGTGTTTTAGTAAAGCGTTTGTGCAGTGGATTTATTTATTTCAACTGAATAGAATTATGCATGACGCCCGAGGGCCCGTTTACCCCTTTAGAAAATCAAGGGCTTTCCTCTAATTTAAACTGATTACAACATTATTTAAAGACTTGCCTACGGTATGTATGGATACAGTAAACGGTGTCTCTGTCTGTGATAAATAACATTAGACAGAGTCCGTCTCGATTTCTCTGCTTCAGGCGGCAGCAGGACGGGAGAGAAGTGGAGCCGTGCTGGGGGCTCACTCAGACTCATCCTGCATTAAACAGCTCAGAAGTGCAACAAATACTCCTATAGTTTAAGCTTCTCTATTTCCGATCCACACACGTAGTATCTGCCACTATGACAAAAGCCACAGGTTGTTTGCTCTATTTCCTCTGTATTATTATGCAAATGAAGCACTCACAATGCAATGGAGGCGCGTTCTTTATTCGCAGCCTTATAGAGCAAGGGTTTTTTTTTTTGTTTAATGTCTTTGATTTCACGTCTACGCAGGAGAAAATGTGAATTGTGGTATTAATACTGTGATTTGTAGGCTATAGTCTCATTAGAGCTATTTCACCACCTCATATTAGGAGCTCAGTCATCAGCCTATAACTATTTAACTCTATAACCTGTATACATTTCTCCCCGTATTATGAAGAGAGGATGAGAAACACGCTGATGTAAGATAGAAAGGGAAAGCTATGTATTTGTTGAGTGTAGAGAAAGAGGATAGTGACAGATCAAGGACTATGGCCAGAGAATCTCACTGATGAATAGGGAAATCATTGCTGACATTAACACATCGGAGCCAAGTGAAATAAATTTAAAAAGTGTATTTTCTTGTAAGGCCATTCCAAATTTTTTTGAGAAATTCTGGCACTGCATCATAATATATAAACTTGGATGGATATAAATATATAAACTGGTGAGATATTGTTATTTATTGCAGAAACCATATAGTCAATCAATAGTGTTCAAAAAATACATTTATTTAGTGGGAGAAATAAACAAAATTGTGTATTGGAGCCCAAGAAAGTTTGTACCAAGGTCCCAGAATGTGGTAGCCATTTCATTTCTCTCCAGCGACTAGGTCAGGAATCGGAATACACTAAACGGTTCTCAAAAACTTCTGAAGTACCAGCCAATCAGCAAAGAGCCATACATTCTGTGTTGGCAATGATTCCCGAGATCGAGGATTTAACGCCACAACAAAGAAAATGTTTGGTGACTTTATCAAGGGGAAAGACGTTATTGCCCCAGTTGGCCCCTTTAGCGGTGCATTGCATACATACTTTAGGACCAAATAGCAGCGATTGGTTAAATGAAAAAAGTACCTGTCTACTGTCAAGCAAACAAATTCTAATGCTGCGAGGTCAGACTGTTTCTACGAAGTGAAACCGGCTGATGAATCAGGCTCAGAATGTGGTGTTACACCTGTGCTTTTGAACGAGGAAAAAGCTTCTTAAAATCCCTCAAATCAGGAAGGAATCATGACAACTTTATCTCCACGGACCAATTAAGTGTACCTTTAACTTATCTTAAAAGCATCAAAGTTTAAAGCAGACCTATTCTGCAAAATCGACTTTTCAGAGCTTGTAGCCATGCAATAGTTGTTTCCCTTCTCGAAGTTGTATTTGACTGATTCATGTTTGAGTAATATTGTATATAATAATGTAATATAGGATTGTGCAGTGTCACATAACCATTTTGGCACAACTGAGAAAAAAAAACTTACTAGTGTGATGTGCAGCTATCCTTGAAAGATGCTGACAACTGCACAGTGCTTTGTTATGATGATATTTACAGTGGTAGTCAGCAAAGTTGTTTCTTTTATGAAGTTGTTTTAGATCAAAACTGTCATTTAAAATGTCTAAATTATAATGTAATGATCCACAAGTGTCATATATTATAACTATATAGTAGCCTCAAGCACAATTTGCCTTTTTTAACATAATATGTAGGGATGTAACAATAACCAAAATATCGTTGATATGGTATCGTCAAAGTTCTCTCAATAATATCATGGACCATCACAATATATCGAATTAAAAGTCTCTTTGCTTAAATTAAGAGTTATGGTGCAACAATAGCTGAAAAAAGACAGAGGGAACTACATAGACCATGATCCTTTGCTCCATTTCAGTGTAGACTACAAGAAGAAATAACAGTTCTAAGCAATTTTAAGTCTTAGTTCTTTGGATTAAGTCTTGTCAAGGCATTTTAAGAGGAAAAAGTTGCATATTAACAGTTTTGTTTGTAAGCCTCCACAAAATATTGCAATAAATATCGTACCGTGAGATTTGGATATTGTTACATCCCTAATAATATGAGATCTTACCGTTTGAGGACTTTTTTTGATATTGTATTCCCATTGTAATGCCGTATTCTTCTGTCTTTTCTTGTAGGTGGTGCAGGGGAATGAGAACACCTATGACGTTGTGTTGAAGGACCTGGGCCCTCCGATCGTGGCTCGTATGATCCGCTTCCACCCTCTGTCCGACCGCGTGATGAGTGTTTGTCTCAGAGTGGAGCTCTATGGCTGTGTTTGGAACGGTGAGAGGCATCAATTATCTCTGTAAATTATATGTGCAGCTAAACTTGTTCAGTCCAGTGAAACTTTATTTCAGTTATTATTACACATTTAAAACCAGCTGACCAAAGCCAATAGAGCTGCAGTGATTTATCAGAATAATTGTGACTAGTCAGTTGAAGTGTAACCTGGTGTTTGTTCAGACTCACCTGTGTTCTCTGGTGTTCTTCTGTCAGACAGCAGTAACATAGATATCATCTGGTGGTGATATGTGAGAATACAACGGGGCAGATTGGTCAATATAATTACAAAGTGTATCTTTAAAATGACCTAAATTGGTTTGCAGTGATGAATTTGAGTAATTGTGATTAGTCCACTATTAACAAAATCATAACTGTATTGTTAATTGCACTATACAGACTCTAAAACACCTGCCAAAAGACCTTTTATAATAGACAGGGGTTTTATTGAATCTATGAAATATTCTCTGTCTAGAAGCCTTCTGTCACCATATTTCAAGCTTATAATAGGTCACGATAATAACTTTTGAAGTGCAATATATTGCTTAGTGTTGTAGTCAAGACCGCTCTGATCCAGATCAAGACCTGTCCGAAACCACAAGGTCCCGTGACTAAGACAAGACCAAGACCTCTGAATGTCAAAACCGAGACAAGACCAAGACTTTTAAAGGTCCAGACCAAGACAAGAGTGAGACCACGGCCCATCGAGACCACATCGAGACCATCTTTGTCATTTTCTGCATTTATTTTTATATTACAGTTCTTTTGGCACATAAATAGCAGTGTTTTTATAAATCTATCCCTATTTTATCAGATAAATGTTAATTTAATCTTAAAATAAGCCAAGCAAACTGTACTGGGCTTAAACACTCTGTGCCCCTTTTTTGGAACCTCACCCACAGTTTGAGAACCCCTTCTTTAAGAAAACTTCCACTGGCACTTTACAGAAAACAGTGAAGAAAGTGAAGAAAATGGGTAGTATTTTTTTTTGTCCATGAGCTCCACACAAGCACACAGGCTGCAGTGAGGAGCTCCACGTGCTCACGCACACAAGTGCAAGTTTATTGCCAACAGTAGCGGCCGTAACAAAATATGATCACACTCAACAAGTGTCAGAACTCGAGTCTGAGACAAGACTGAGTCCAAGCACCTTCAAGACCGAGACAAGACCGAGTCCAAATGTGGTCGAGCCTAAAACGACACCAAGACCGTAAAAAAACGAGACTGGTCTTGGTCTTGAAACGGGCCTCAAGATAATTTTTTTACAGTCTTGGTGTCGTCTTGGACTTGACCACATTTGGACTCGGTCTTGTCTCGGTCTTGAAGGCGCTTGAACTCGGTCTTGTCTCGGACTTCTAACACTTGTCGAGTGCGATCACCTTCAAGACAGAGATGAGACCGAGTCCAAACATGGTCGAGTCCAAGACCACACCAAGCCAGTCTCAAGGCTGGTCTTGTGACCAAGACCGGTCTCAAATACTACAACACATATATTGCTTAAGAAAATATACACAATAAACAATATTAATGAAAACCATTTTGCTGCTGACACAATAACCCTAAAGCAGGATTATCCCCAAAAACTCTTCTATATGTTCAATGTTGTTAATGAACAGGAGCTGCAATAAATAAATAAAACACTTATCCAAACCACTTTATTATATAGCATATTTCATAAGCAAAACCGTTTCCAAAGTGCTGCATAACACAGATAAAACCTTAATGAGTCATAGAAGTCAACTCTCTACAGCTCAAATGTTACCACAGTACAGAAAAATAACAAAAAGTTCCCCAAAGAACCCACAGAAAAAGTACCTACCACAAATATTTACCCCCCAAACTCCATCTATCATGTTTTGAACAATAATACAGAGTAGTAATTATCGTGATGGGCCTACCTTATAATATTTTGAGTAGACGATTAATCAAAAAAAGAATTGCTTGTCAACAACTAAAATAATCGTTAGTTGCAGCCCTCGTGCTAAACAAGCCACAGCGAACCTCCATAAACATAGCAACACCATAAAAAGCAGCACATGCGGGCTGTGCAACAGTTAAATTCAGCTTATCTAAATTTGAATGGCTGCAATCAGCGAATCACAAAGATTGCAATAAGGTGACAACATGTCCTCTGCAGACAACAAAATATATCTTGGCCTATTAAGATACAGTAAATGTTAACCCTGTAGTTTAGATTTCTGCAAACTGTTCTGAAACGCATGTGACTCCTGATTCCTGTATTAGTTTAGCAGTTTATTTTTGAGTCTTGTCTCAGATAAACAATTTTATCTTATACATTAGGTTTGAAAAAATAGTATCCAAACTAGATACTAATTTTAGCAGGTATCGATACCAAAAATCACATTCACAGGACAGAGATGAAACTTTAGAAATAGCTTTAGAATAATCTTGAGCTGTATCAGAACAAGTATAAGAGCACATAGACTAGTACACGCCCATGGACCACTGTGAAACTGACCTGAATGACTCAGGGATTACACCGATATAAGACGTCAGATATAAAACCATCATAATATCAAAGAAAGTACTGTATTTTTGGGACTATAAGGCGCACTAAAATCCTTCAATCTTCTCAAAAATCGACTGCACCTTAAAATCTGGTGCGCTTATGTATTAATTCTGGTTGTGCTTACTGACCTCGAACCGATTTTATGTGGTACATGGTGCTCAAAGATCTGTCAAAATATTTTAGTGCAACTTTGGTAAACTAAAAAGCCGCACCGCTTGATGAATTGTTGGAGCATTACAGCTACTGTAGTCAGGAGCCTTGCGGAGTAAGTCCAACAGAAGCTGACCGCATCAGCACAGAAGGAGTGAGCTGTTTTTTTCAGCACTTATAGTTTATATAAATTATCCATATGGTTTTAAGTTTAATTTCTGTAAAACTTAAACAAATGTGTGCATTAAAGTGCATTAAACACATTATTACTCAATGTATATTTGAGTCCTCCTCGTAGGAAATAAAAATCCAGACTTAAATTATCCACCCACATTCGCATTCATAACACACATTGACCAAGACAGGAAGGAAACGCCGGGCGAATTACACCACGATCTGCTAATGGATCGTAAATGCCTGGGCTAATGTAGTTTTGCTTGGCCCAGATTTTGTCCCAGGTTTAGTTTCAGTTTGTTGTGTGTTGTTTTATTTGAAGTGTGTTGTATATCAATGACACGCAATACTTTTAACTTCTATTTGAGTAATTATCAGGGTTCTCATGGTCATGGAAATCCTGGAAAATTACAATTTTCTAGGCCTGGAGAAGTCAGAGAATTTTGTAAATTCTATGAAAATTTTGGAAAAGTTGTGGAATTTTAGTATCTCTTTCATGCAACTACAGTGTTCTGCTAAGTTATCATTAGGCTATTATGATTATTTCATTATTATATGCACATTTTGTTTAAAAGCGACGACAATAAATGCACTGACAGTATTTTGAATGTTATAAAACTATAATACCAAACCATAAGGTGAGTGGAAAGGGTTAACATTTCATATTTTGCCCTAAAAGTCTGCTCAATTCTACACATGTAGGTGCTGTAAAATCATGGAAAATTCACTTCAGCTCATGAAAAAGTCATGGAAAAGTTTAGAAATTTTGTGAGTGAAAAAGAGTGGGAGCCCTGAGTGTCAATCTCAAGCGCCGTCCGTTTGTTTCGCTTAATGCGCCTTATATTACGGTGCGCCTTATAGTCCAAAAAATATGGTACTATTATTTAATATTGAAAATCACATTCTCTATTGTCTAAAGAATCTGTAGAGTAAAGTATTAGAATCTGTTTGAAATTTTAGTATCGTGACAACACAGAATCATAATTTTACAACATAAATCTCGAATGTAACCATATATTACATCAGAATAATTGTAACCATACATTATTTCCCAAAATCGTTCAACCCTCCATACCATAGACCTCCTTTATGTTGCAACGCACACTTACCCCATTGTAATGATTATAATATGTGCATGTTTTCCCCATATAACCGATGCATCGACTCGTAGCATTCCATCACATTTACGGCCTCTTCGGGGTTTGCAACACTAAAAAGAAGCCACGCTGTGATATACGGTTTAAGCCCGGTGTTACCCGAAGCACAACACTTACTAACACAGTATTTATGGCTAGGTCACCCCCTCTCTTGCTCCATCTACCAACTTCACGCAGCAACGGGCCGGCTGTAAATCAGGCCTGTCGGGGAGGTTAGAAATCTGCCGTGAGATCGTCTTTTTTAAATATGCCCCGTTTGGGAATTCAGGAGCGGTGCTACACGGTTTATCTGGAGGCAACAAATGACACACTCAGGTTCGAATGTCAAGTGTTTCACCTCGCATCCAGTGTTAGATCACCTCCAGTGTTGTTTAAAGATGCACTGTGTAACTTTTCAGGCGGCGGTGGGGATGGCATCAGCTTGTCTCTTTGGAGAAGTTATTGTTTAGCTGGAAATGGCAAGGCAAGTTTATTTGTACGGCACAATTTGCACACAAATTAAAAGTGCTTTACAGAATAAGAAAACACATTAAAACTGCAATACAAACAAATCAAAACATAAATAATCATCACAAAATTAAAAAGAGAGAAAGAGAGACATTAAATGAGAGAGAGAAGAGTGCAGAATAAAGACCTTTCTGTTTAGCTGAGCAAATGCACAAGTAAACAGAATCATTTTGAGCCTGGATTTAAACAGAGTCAAAGTAATGTTACACAGTTTGGCGTTAAAGGTTCTATATTACACAAAATTGACTCTTGTGAGCTTTAAGCCATGTTACAATGTTGTTACCTCTTCAAAAACAGACCTGGAGTTGTGTTTTGTTTCATTCACACATGTTTGAGTAACGCTTTATTATTAGTCTGTCTACCTACTTTGTACCTTATGATGTTATGAAGCTGTAGTTTTTCAAGTTAACAGCTCCTTTTACCTTTTGTTCAGTAGTTTGGCAATTCCAGGGAAATTATCCAAATGATTCTAATGAGTATGGAGTTTAAAATCACAGTGGAACACAGGATGGAACAGTCTGAGAGAAGAACTCAGCCGGGTGATGTAGGGTTTGTGTGTTAAACATGTGTGAATGAAACAAAACACCTGTCCATGTTTGTGACGAGGAAACAACTTTATAACAGATCAGCAAATAGAGTAATATGGGCCCTTTAAATATTTATCTTGCATTCATTAAATTACATGTGTACCTTGAAAAAAATGCATTCTTATTGCCCTGGTTCTCTATATGCAGATAGATAAGTTGAATGCATTTCGTGGACCATTCCAGGGAAAGCAATAACATCTCCATGGAGACAAGCAGAAACGTTACATCTACACATTTACACCTTTAACTTAATTAATTAATTAAAATGAAAAACATGGGTTCATATTGTAGGCGCCTCTCCACAGATATGACCTGTAACTTGGTCTGGTGGTGTCTCTGGCTTCTATTCACGATAGATACAGGAAATTGACAGGCATGTGGCAGACTCTCCATTAGAAAAGTTACATAGTATGCCTTTAAATGAGCATCTGCTAGTATCAAATCTGTATAGCTGAGAATGAGAGATTAAGTAAAATGTGAATTGTAGTGTTGTGGTACTCAAGATTGGTCAGCCTCGAGACAATTTTTTTACGGTCTTGGTCTCGGACTCAAGCGCACTGGGACTCGGTCTTGTCTCGGACTCAAGGTCTGTGTAGTCATATTCCATTACAGCCCGTGAATGTGCAGAGGCTGTTAAATATCACTGCAAAACCAGTAAGACAATGTAACTGTAAATGTTAGGAACTTCAAAAAATTCACTTGATGAACTTTGAAGTCATTTTCTGCAAAGTGCCAGTGGAAGGGGGATTAAAGAAGAACTTCTCAAACTGTGGGTGAGGGTCCAAAAAAGGGCGCACAGTGTTTCAGTGCAGCACAGTTTGCTAATTTCAATCTTAAATGAATATTAATCAGATAAAATTTAGATAGATGGATAAAAACATTGATATATTTGTGCCAAAATAACCATAAAATACAAATAAATATAATAAATGACAAAGATGGTCTTGATTTGGACTCGATGGGCTGTGGTCTTGTCTCAATCTTGACCTTTAAAAGTCTTGGTCTTGTTTTGGTCTCGACTCTCAGAGATCTTGGTCTTGTCTGGGTCTTGGGATCCTGTGGTTTTGGACTGGTCTTGGTCTCAATTAGTGCGGCCTTGACTACAAGACTAGTGAATTGACTCCGGTTATTTAGGAAACATCTATGGGTCTATTATAATTGCTAATCCTGTAGTTTAGACTTCTGCGAACATGTTCTGAAAAACCTTGAGATTCTGTTATTAGTTTAGCTGTTGGTATTTCAGTCTTTTCTCCAACGCTAACACCCCTTGCTAAATTTAAAATATGCTCTGTGAACTCAGATTTGATTTCTAAAAACTCACATTTTCAACCCCAATCCCAATATTTATCAGGCAAAGTTCAGTCCGATACTTCACCAAGCTTTGTTTATCCCCAACAATCAGTCTTTTGTTTGTTTTACCCAGGTACAGTCTACACACACTGCTTCATGTAATGGTCTAGGTCGACTTGTTTATTATTGGAAAGTGAAAGTAAATCTCTATTCTGACGTAACAGTTGTTCTTAGAGAGAGGCCTGATTAGCTGGAGAGTGCAAAAGGCCGGATTGAGTTTCAGCGTTTAATGACTTTGGCCCATTTAGATCCTGTTGAATTGGACATGTTTGTTTTTTCCATTCTATGTCTCTTTCCAATCCCCACACCACTTTTCACAGCTTAATTTGAAATGCAAGAAATGTTCCAAAGCGGTGTTTTCATCAGTTGGCGGGTAATAGTTTACATTTAAAGGTGCACTACGTAATTTTTCTTGTCGACGTCTACCACCTGCATGATCCATACAGTTGAGGTGTTTTCGTTTTTGCGTGGTATGGCATTAATCTTACTATTTTGCAGGTGTTTTTCTTACGCAAAAATACCTTGAAAATCATTCTTACTGTGAGCAGGGTCGCCACACTAGAGATCCGACCTGTAACTTGCCTCAGCTGCTTGTCTCCATGGAGATAGATAAGATTAATGATATACAGACTCTCCACGAGAAAAATTACAAGCTACAAAAGGATTTGGATTTGAGGTCTGAGTCGAGTTTAGACCAAATGTAGACTTGCTTTGGGTCTAGGTTTTATCCCAGGTTTAGTTTCAGTTTGTCCCATTTTTATTTGATGTGTGTTGTGTATGAATGACACTCCATACTTTTATTTTAACTTCTGTTTGAGTAATTATCAGGGTTCCCACGGTCATGGAAATCCTGGAAAAGTCATGGAATTTGAGGGCCTGTTTACACTAGAACACTTGTGGGTAAAAACGACTAAATATTTTATTGGGAGTGCCTTTCGTTTAGACGGTGATGGCGTTTTTGGGGCTTAAAAACATAAAAATCTGAAACCGCCCTCCAGAATGGAAAAGTTGAATACGCGCCGCCGTAGCATTTCCGTCTACACTGCCCAAGACGCAAAACTCTGGTCAGATCTGCTCAGGTCGTGTACGCATTTACATCACAAACATACAGTACACAGAAACACGACGAATATCGAATTCCACACACTTTTGCGTCACAGTATGTAAGCGGATTTCCTCCCAAAAACGCTCGTCTAAATGCAGAATAAAAAGTGAAGACGCGAATGCCACTTTTGCATCTTCTGTTCAAACCGTCATCATATAAACGTAGCCTTAGTATCTCTTTCACGCAATTAGAGGATTCTGTGAAGTTATCATTAGGCTATTATGATCATTTCTGAACATCTGCGCGTTTTGTTTAAAAGAGATGACAATAAATGCACTGACAGTATTTTGAATGTTAAAAAATGACAATACCAAACCATAAGGTGAGGGGAAAGGGTTAACATTTCATATTTAGCCCTAAAAGTATGATCAATTCTACACATGGAGGGTGCCATAAAATCATGGAAAATTCACTTTAGGCCATGAAAAAGTCATGGAACCCTGAATTATTTTGAAGTAACTGAGCTCCTAAGTCTGCTCTTCCGACCACTAGTGAATGGGTGGAAGGCATTCAGAACTTTTATCTGTTCTCCCTGTGTTTTGGTGGGTCTCCAGTCCAGAGGGTGCTCATATTTCCTTCATAACACTGAAATATGCACAGTACGTTAGTCCTGCAGCTAAGGTGGTCCTGACCGAGCCTCGCCCAAGATCTGGAGATGGGTCTCACTGCTGATGTCCTGTCAGATTTAAATCAGTGGCATTGAAGGGTCAAATGCAGAGGTCTTATTTCCCTATGCTGACAGTAAAGCGAGTTAAGTTTATTCAAGTTTTTTATTTGTCTTCCAGATGGACTGAAGGCCTACACAGCTCCAGTGGGCCATGTTATGTACCTCTCTGGGATGCCCATTTACCTCAACGACTCGACCTACGATGGAAGCACAGAGCAAGGGTGAGTGGTGCTTTCTATAGCAGAACAGCTCCAGGCCCTTTGGTTGACTCTGACCTGCCCCTTTAAGATAATTTGAAATTACAAAATATTACTTGAATTACAACATATTTTATAGTTTTACCTCATGCATGGACTAAAGCTGCATTGCTTTTATTTTAGAGTTTTTTTTTTGTTTGTTTTTTTAATATATATAATTTTTGTAAGGCAGCCTTACTAAACCAGAAATAAACCAGAACTAAACCAGTTCTAAACCAGCACTAAACCAGGTCTAAACCAGGACTAAACCACGTCTAAACCAGGTCTAAACCAGAACTACACCAGAACTAAACCAGATCTAAATTAGGCCTAAACCAGATCTAAACCAGATCTAAACCAGGTCTAAACCAGATCTAAACCAGGTCTAAACCAGATCTAAACCAGATCTAAACCAGATCTAAACCAGATCTAAACTAGGCCTAAACCAGGTCTAAACCAGGTTTAAACCAGGTCTAAACCAGAACTACACCAGAACTAAACCAGATCTAAATTAGGCCTAAACCAGATCTAAAACAGGTCTAAACCAGCACTAAATCAGGTCTAAACCAGGTTTAAACCAGGTCTAAACCTGGTCTAAACCTGGTCTAAACCAGGTCTAAACCAGGTCTAAACCAGAACTACACCAGAACTACACCAGATCTAAATTAGGCCTAAACCAGGTCTAAACCAGATCTAAACCAGGTCTAAACTAGGTCTAATCCAGAACTAAACCAGGTCTAAACCAGATCTAAAACAGAACTAAACCAGCTTTAAATCAGGTCTAAACCAGGTCTAAACCAGATCTAAAGACTAAGACTAAAGGGGTTTAATAGTTTACTGCTTCTTATAAAGAAATACAATTAAATACAGTTCATGTTATGCAGAATTGAGTTAAGCATTTTGGCCCTTCACAATATTTTCTATTTCTGATGTGGCCCCATGGAAAAAATAATTGCCCATCGCTGTTCTAGAGGATTTAATGATATTATAATTTCATCTATCTATGACCTATGTTACTCTATGGGTGATCCCAAAGGTGCACTGTCTCTATGGTGATGTTACTCCTTTGCCAGAAATTTTCCACAGTATGGCATCAATCTTACATACATCTTACACCATTATAGTGTTTTTATCGTTACCAATAAATAAAAAAACTAATAAATACATAAAACATGCATTCTTTCTTTGAGTGGGTTTGCAGCCTCTGTAAGTTGCCCTGCTTGTTTCCATGGAGACAGATGCGAGTGACATACTGTGAAACATTCGAGGCACAGCAATAACATCAACACATCTACACATTGAACCTAACCATGATATGTTGGATTACCATATTAAGATTATGTCTTAAAATATAGAGAAAAAAATTCCCTTTGTTCATGTGCACAGATAGACAAGATGTTGAACTTTGTGCCAGTTGTCACGTGGATAGGTTTAATAATTACTGAATTAACCACTGCAATATGTGACATTTAAATGGCAAATTCTCCTGTAGATTTCTCTCCTCAGTTTGGGCTTTTTAGAATAATATGATGGAGCTTAAATGTAAATGAGCTTCAACAAAATCATTTACTGAAAAGGATTAATAACGTATATCTAATATCTAATAAATGTTCCAATGCAGTGTTTCCAGGTGAGTAGTAATAGGATACTTAAAGGTGCACTGCGTAACTTTTCTTGTTCTGTTCTTAATGGGAATGTTTTTGCTTTGCTTTGAATGTTGATTGTTTTTATTTCGAGTTTGTGCCAAGAGAGAAACCATAATCATTAGGGGTGTAAGAAAAAATCGATTCAGTGATATATCGCGATACTTCATTGTGCAATTCTCGTATCGTTTCAAAATGCTTTCGAAGTCCTTTTTTTTCTACTACTACTTCTTACTGTTCTCATGATTTAAAAGTTTAATAAATTGTATTGTTTTGTTGTTCTCGGGAATGTGTCCTCGACCAGAATATTATATGAAATTATTGATAAATCACAATATATCGTCCTTTGTTTTAGTATCAGGATATATCACGTTATATAGAATCGTGACATGGATATCGCATATCGCACCCCTAAAAATCATACACCTACTCGACAAGGAGTGAGAAGAAGAAAAACTTAAATTAACCCACCCTTATTCATTACATAGTTTCAAAAATGATGAGGTTGCTTATAGGAGTGTGTAAAAATATCGAAATATTGATATATCGATATATATTGTATCGCCTAATGTGATGATATAGTATTAAAACCGTGGGCTGCTGTATTGATGTATCGCTAGGAGTATTTTTTGGTATATTTTACTTAATAATTTTGTTACAGTGCTACAGTTTTTTTGTTTGTTTAGAGGACAGAAACTCATGTATGCAGCATATTTGACATTTTCACTGTTTTGATTATTAAAATGGGCATGTTTCATTAGCCTGGTTCATCAGCCGGTTTCACTTCGTAGAAACTGTCTGACTTGGCAGTGTTTTAGAATTCGTTTGCTTGACTGTAGGTGGGTACTTTTTATCATTTAACCAATCGCTGCTATTTGGTAGTCACGTATGTAATGCACCGCTAACGGGGCTAACTGGTATATTAAGCTTTTCCCAAATCCCGTAGGAAGAAGGGCAATAAAGTCTTTCCCCTTGATAAAATTCACCAAACATTCTCTTTGTTCCGGCTTTAAATCCTCGACCTCGGGAATTGTTGATAACACTGAATATATGACTCTTTGCTGATTGACTGGTGCCCGAACTCGCACTTCCGCGTTTTTTGCGAACCATGTAGTGTATTCCGATTCCTGACCTAGTCGCTGGAGAGATATTAAATTGAGTGGAGGGCACTGGCTAATGGTTCATATGATCTTTTGCACAAGAAGTGGTTTAACAAAGACTTTTAGTATCACAGCCAGGATTTAGCCTTTATTTTTATTGAACTGTATCAAATCGATTTGAAATATACCTTGTTGAATCGAAAGTGCGCTGTATCGAGGTATGTATCGTATCGGCACCTTCTTAATGATACCCAGCCCTAGTTGCGTATGTACATTGATCTCGAAATTTTACAAATATTTACATACAGCAAAATAAATTACATACTATATACAGTGTAATGTTCCACAGGATGACATCAAACTCACGAAATTGCATTTATTCAGCTAAAATTGCTCAAAAAATCCCTTGAAAAACATGTATTCTGACGGGGTCGCCTCTCCACAGACCTGACCTGAAACTTGATCCTTGTTCATTTTTAAGATTATAGGCTTTTTAAAGTAGTATGATCTCACATGAACACAACTGCTGAGGTTTTGGCGCTCGTGGTCAGACTTTCAACACTGTTTTTCCAAATTTAATCAAGATAAAGATTCCCCTGGGCTGCGGTCGATAGCTGTCGTCACATCTGTTAACAGTAACGCGGATGTCTTCCCTGAAACTTATTCTGGTGTCCGCCTAATCGAAAGGGAATTACAGTATTTTTTTAAGCGCTTGGGGATTTGAGGCGTGTTTCCTGACCATAATGTTTTGGCATGAAAAATTTGGCTGGATTCACGCTTACATAGTCTGGGTGGTTAATGGAGCTGAAATGTTTTGCTAGCCGCCGAGCTAGCAAGAACGCGCTCTGATGTAATCCAGACGCACTCATAACAGATGTCTGTCCATGTGCATGACCCTTCAGAGCACCCTTAAGAATGATATGAACCCAGCTCACTAAATGTTGTTTTAAAGCTGTAAAAACTTATTGTCCACACAGCAAAAAGTGATTTTCTACACTGAAAAAACAACCAATATCTAGGTAATTTAAAATGACTTAAATTGAGAACATTTTACTTTATTTGAGTACATTCAATTTGACAAGTAAAATGATCTACCAACAGAATAATCAATATTGGGAGCAACGTGTTATAAAAGTAACAAATTACTGTAATGCGTTGCTTTTTGCTGTAATGCAGTAATGTTCAGCATTACAGGGAAAAGAAAATATAATATTTTACTCACATCACAATGCATTTTTAACATGGGCTGAAGTGGTGGGTTTTGGTGGTTTTTCTTCACACAAATTTGCTAAAATCACGGCGACATCAGCCATCGTTACGGTTCCGAATCTCGCAACGGGCCCAGAGGTGTGCCCACGTAGACCATCGGGTAACCGTGGGCAAAAGGAGCAGCGCAGAGCTTCACACTCCATGGTACACCGTGCAGCCGTCACCCAGTCGTGCTTTGCGGACACCCTGCTGCACAGACTTGGGGTTCTCTCAGGGGTGGTCCTAGATGCCAAGTCCTAGTTCAAAATTAGTCCTGGTTTAGTCCTGGTTTAGCCCTGGTTTAGCCCTGGTTTAGTCCTGATTTAGACCTGGTTTTGTTGTGGTTCAGTCCATATATGGCGCAAAAGTTCGTAATCTTCGCTTGCTGATTGTTATTTGACAATCAGCAACAGTTGTTTTGGTGAGAGTAACTTTAGTAATGTAGTAGTGTAATGTTTTACATTTTAAATGCAGTAATAACTGTATTGTAACGAATTACTGTGAAATGACCGTAACAAGTCATAAATAATGCATTACAGATATAAAGTAACTTGCTCAACATGCGAATAGTAGTGGAGCTGTTAAGGCTCAAAATAGTTTGTTTTTATGGCATAAGCATGAAACTTTGCCAGATTACCAACACCCCAAGACTAATATTTCTGGATATGGAACCAAGTCTTATTTAACACTGGAGCTGAGAACTGCGTATGTCACAAAATGGATTACATGAGAACAAGGCTGTCATAAAAAATACTGCATAATCCCTTTCTTACAGTCTAATTTGCTTAGTTATCAGTTTTGTCACATTGAACAACAATTTTTTTCTAAACTCCAAAGCATTAAGGAGTTCACGTGACTGTTTTCCTCAAGAATGTAAAAGTTGTGTGGGATCCCTGTGGTTGAAATCCAAGTTAATAAAATATTTTATCTGTCAAAGCCATATTTATTGGGTTTTTGATAACAAAAAACACTCCATTAAACTATCTCTTGTCTGGAATGTTTCACAGTGTAGGATTAAACCTTTCTATCTTCATGGAGACCAAACCAGACCAGGTTCCAGGTCAAATCTCAGACCAGGTTCCAGGTCAAATCTCAGACCAGGTTCCAGGTCAGAACAGAATGTCTGTTTTTGTAGGTATTTTTGAGCTATAAAACCACCTGCACAGGCAAAGAAAACAATATCTATGTAAGTTAAAATGACTGAACATTTTACTTTATTTGAGTCAATTCAACTTGACAAGTAAAATTATTTACCAATGGAATAAGTTTGTTTTTCTTAATTCAAGCAACATTCAACTTTGTTTTGTATTTTAAGTACACAAAGTTGTTGTTTTTCTTATTTTAAGTGTAGCAAGATTTATTTTCATATTTTAAGTACAAAAAGTCTTATTCCACTTTATTTGTCAAGTGAAATTGACTCAAAACATGATAAAACTTTCTTAATTCAAGTCATCTTAACTTGACTAGATTTAGGTTTTTGCTGTGTAATCTAGTAATTATCTTGTCTCCGTGGAGATATTATTGTTCTGGCCAAAATGTTCCACAAAATGGCATTAAATGTATCTATATCCAAGGAGACAAACAGATGGGAGGTCAGATCTGTGGAGAGGCGACCATACTGAAAACTAGAATGCTTTTTTTAAAGGTATTAACGTGTGTAATGAAATAAATGTGAGCAAGATCAGTTTAATGCCATACTGGGGGACATTCCAGACAAAGCAATAATAAAACTCACTGGAATTTAACAAGAAAGTTCCATAGTGCAACTTTAAATCATTTTAAAACCAGTCGAAATGTCATGAAAGGTAAACTATTTAGGTAGGGGAAACTAAACAAAACTGCCTAAAATCTTTTTTCAAATACAACATGTAATTTTTGTAGTAATTTTCATGTTTTGCAGGGCACAGTCCACATTTAAATGCGCTGTACCTGATGTATTTGAGCAAAATTTGTCTTTCCTAATTATACTGGAAGTGAGTGTTAGCATGCCAGCTGTTACTAACTTTACCATGACAAAAAAAACATGACTCCGGCCTCTAAAAGTTGTGAAAAGCACTTATAAACTCATTGCGGTGGATAATTAGGATGCCCGGAATGCATAGGGTAAGTGAGGGAATAACTTTGGACCGCTGATGATTTTTTTAAATGAACTGGATCTGTTTTTCATGTGTTTAAGAAAAATAAAAAATAAAAAAATCAGCTACAGCGCATTTAACTGTGGTGGTTGTGTTTTGTCCAGGATGCAGTTCGGGGGCCTGGGGCAGCTGGTGGACGGGGTTTTAGGAGGAGATGACTTCATAGAGACCAAAGAGCTGCGGGTTTGGCCTGGATACGACTACCTGGGCTGGAGCAGAGAGGCACTCGGGCAGCCCAGCGTGGACATTGAGTTCCACTTTGAGAAACCGCGGGTCTTCAACAGCATGCAGGTATGGAGTTGAAAATGTACACTTTAAACATGATCATAGTATTAAAACATAAATAACAAATCCAGATATTTCCCCCAAATCGTTCAGTCCTAATTGCACAGAAATAGTGTGACCAGAGTTTCAAAATAAAAAACTAGACATGGTTTGGGTTGGTTGGTAATAATAAAATTGTGAAACGAGTGCGTAATTAAGGAAAATTATTACACACTTGGCACTAATGTGAGTCAGTGTAGTCATATTTTCTTTGTGTTTTGGTCATTTTTAAACAGCTTTTCTGTATTTTACCTAAACAAATGACAATTTATGGCTCTTTTTACAGTTGGCAGGTATTAGATTTGTCCAAAATAGGGACACCTGGGACATTTCTTGTATAAAACTGGGACAACTTGCCATAATTTTCAGACTATAAGGTGCACTTAAAATCCTTACATTTGCTCAAAAATGGACTTATAGTGCCTTATAATCCAGTATATTTTAGGTATTAATTCTGGTTGTGCTTACTGATCTCGAACCGATTTAAAGTGATACACGATGTTCAAAAATCTGTTAAAATTTGTTTTAATACGACTTTGGTAAACTATGTAGCCGCTCCGCTTCACGGATTGTCAGAGCATTACAGCTATCATAGTCACGAGCCTCGCGGAGTAAATGGACTATAAAAATTATCATTTGTATTCACAAAGCGGGATGATTGTTGGCAATATTTTACATGTTTTTGTTGAAAAAAACTCAAGCGGCTTATCGGTGTGATTGGGGTGTAATGTCTTTAAGTGACGCTTTCATTTATTTGGCTTCATGCTGTCCGCTGCCAACATTTTTAGGGCCTGTTTACACGAGAACGCTTGCGGGTTAAAACAACAAAATATCTTATCGGAAGTGCTTTCGTTTAGACGGCGATGGCATTTTTGGTGCTTAAAAACACAAAAATCTGAAATCGAAAGTTGAATACGCTCCGCCATAGCGTTTCCGTCTACATTGCCCAAGACGCAAAACTCTGGTCAAATCTGCTCACGTCGCGTACGCGTTTATGTCACATACATCACCACCTAGCCGCCTGGCACACACATTTTTGCGTCACCGTATGCACTCAGTTTTCCTCCCGAAAACGCTTGTCTAAATGCAGAATAAGAAGTGAAGATGTGACGCCACTTTTGCGCAACTTTTCCTTGTTTCCCACCGTAGTCACAGTGAACCCGAGTGCTACATACGCTTCTTCATATTCTTAGCTTTCGGGAGACTGTCGTTTGTTTCATTATCTCTGTCTTTCTCTGCCTTTCTTTTCAACCTTGTTAAGTATTTTTCCATAGTTTGACGGTCTGTCCACCGCGCTTCATATCTCCTGCGCTGTGCTATGTGTGCATCTGCTCGGTGCAAAAAAACACTATACTGCCAACTACTGTAGTGGATGTGCAACTACACTTTATTCTAGTATGGCAAAAAAAAAAAGCAATGTTCCCCAAGGTCACACACTATTTGAGAAGTACTGAGCTAAACTAACATGTTGGCTTACAGGTAAAGTCTTTTCTGTGAACCAAGATGACCTCTGCATGCGGCTAAAACTGAAGAATATTTACAGAGAGAGGTCCAAATACCAACAGTCGGAAATACCAAAAGTATAGTGATTATTTTCAATGGTTTGGAAGATTACATTGACGATAAGATGTTGATAATTTGCCGTAATGAAAAGGACAGTAATCGCATTATGTTTTTGCGTCTGATGGAGTTTCTTAATTACCGTTCATTGAGTCTGGCTGCGCAGCGTGACTCTATCTCGAACTTAGAGTTATGTTGTTTACCTCCGCAGCCCCGACTCTGGCAATGATCCATCTGCGCTGGAAGTTTAACTGGAGCAGCTCAGTTTAATTAGTTTAATGTCCCATTGTTTGTCATGGGGCCGAGTGTCTGTGATTGGGAATGCACTGGGTTGCATCAGCAGCTGTTTGTGTGGCTGTGGTTTCGGGGTTAGATCGTAACGCCGCAGAGGAAGAGGAAGATAATGTGAAACCGACCGGGATCAAATGTGACAGAACGACACACTTCATTCTCTGCACTGGAATGTGGGTTTGGGTGGAACAACGCAACACATGTTTGGTCCAGCCCATTGTCTGCATTTCTGAATGGGATGCCCGATCTCTGTCTCTCTCTCTCTCTCTCTGTCTGTCTCCCTCTTTTTCCTCTCTCTTTCTTAGTCTGTCTGTCTCTTTTTATCCCAATTTCCTTTTCTTTTTCCCGCTACCCTCTATTCTATCTATCGAGTCTTTCATTCAGTCTTTCTTCTCTCTCCATTTCTTTCTTTCTATCTCTTTCTATTTCTCTCTTTCTCTCGCTCTCCATTTCTTTTTTTCTCCATTTCTTTCTGTCTTTCTCTATTTCTCTCTTTCTGTATCTGTTTTTCTCTTTCTATCTCTATTTATCTCTTTCTATCTCTCTTTCTCTCTTCCTATTACTTTCTCCATTTCTCTTTCGATCTCTCTTCATCTCGCTATTTCTATCTCTCTCTCTATCTTTCTATTTCTCTTTCTGTCTCTTTTTCTCTTTCTATCTCTCTCCATTTCTCTCTTTCTATTCCTTCTATCTTTCTCCAGTTTCGCTGTTTCTCTCTCTCTTTTTCCTTTCCCCCTCTTTCTCCCTGCATCTATCTCCTTCCCCCTTCTCTCTCTTCCTCCCCCCTCTTCGTCTCTCTCAGTTCTTCGTCTCTCTCAGTTCTTTGTCTCTCTTCGTCTCTCAGTTCTTCGTCTCTTTTAGTCTCTCTCAGTTCTTCGTCTCTTTTCGTTTCTCTCAGTTCTTCATCTCTCTCAGTTCTTCATCTCTCTTCGTTTCTCTCAGTTCTTCGTCTCTCTCAGTTCTTCATCTCTTCTTCGTCTCTCTCAGTTCTTCTTCTCTCTCAGTTCTTCTTCTCTCTCAGTTCTTCGTCTCTCTCAGTTCTTCATCTCTCTCAGTTCTTCGTCTCTCTCAGTTCTTTGTCTCTCTTCGTCTCTCTCAGTTCTTCATCTCTCTTCGTCTCTCTCAGTTCTTTGTCTCTCTCAGTTCTTTGTCTCTCTCAGTTCTTCATCTCTCTCTCTTTCTCTCTCTCTCAGTTCTTCATCTCTCTCAGTTCTTCTTCTCTCTCAGTTCTTCGTCTCTCTCAGTTCTTCGTCTCTCTCAGTTCTTCGTCTCTCTTCGTCTCTCTCAGTTCTTCAACTCTCTTTGTCTCTCTCATTCTTGTCTCTCTCAGTTCTCTCTCTCTTCTTCTCTCTCAGTTCTTCGTCTCTCTCAGCTCTTTGTCTCTCTCAGTTCTTCGTCTCTCTCAGTTCTTCGTCTCTCTTCGTCTCTCTCAGTTCTTCAACTCTTCTTTCTCTCTCAGTTCTTTGTCTCTCTCAGTTCTTCATCTCTCTTCGTCTCTCTCAGTTCTTCATCTCTCTCAGTTCTTCATCTCTCTTCGTTTCTCTCAGTTCTTCGTCTCTCTTCGTCTCTCTCAGTTCTTCGTCTCTCTCAGTTCTCATCTCTCTCAGTTCTTCATCTCTCTTTGTCTCTCTCTTCTTCGTCTCTCTCAGTTCTTCATCTCTCTTCGTCTCTCAGTTCTTCATCTCTCTCAGTTCTTCGTCTCTCTCAGTTCTTCGTCTCTCTCAGTTCTTCATCTCTCTTCGTCTCTCTCAGTTCTTCGTCTCTCTCAGTTCTTCGTCTCTCTCAGTTCTTCGTCTCTCTCAGTTCTTCGTCTCTCTCAGTTCTTTGTCTCTCAGTTCTTCGTCTCTCTCTTCGTCTCTCTCAGCTCTTCGTCTCTCTCAGTTCTTCGTCTCTCTCAGTTCTTCGTCTCTCTCAGTTCTTCGTCTCTCTCAGTTCTTCGTCTCTCTCAGTTCTTCGTCTCTCTCAGTTCTTCTCAGTCTCTCTTCGTCTCTTCTCTCTCTCTCAGTTCTTTCTCTCTCAGTTCTTTCTCTCTCAGTCTTTGTCTCTCTCAGTTCTCTCTCTCTTCGTCTCTCTCAGTTCTTCGTCTCTCTTCAGTCTCTCTCAGTTCTTCGTCTCTCTTTGTCTCTCTCAGTTCTTTGTCTCTCAGTTCTTCGTCTCTCTCAGTTCTTCGTCTCTCTTTGTCTCTCTCAGTTCTTTGTCTCTCTCAGTTCTTTGTCTCTCAGTTCTTCGTCTCTTCCAGTTCTTGTCTCTCCCAGTTCTTGGTCTCTCTCTTTTCTTCGTCTCTTCGTGTGTGTGTCGGTGTGGTGCAGGTGTGAGTCTGTGCAGCTGCTGTTGCTCTGGGTGCAGGTGTGAGTCTGTCTCTGAGCGTTGGGAGTAAAAAAATCACCTCGTAGCTGCAGAAACGTGTGAGGCAAAGATCAAAGCTCTAATGTCCTTAAATAAATCTGTTTAAATTACAGTTTTACTCATTCAAATGTTTTTATTCCTCCAAACCTCTGCTGGGATGAGAATTATTTCACTTTCTTCTCTGTGTTCTTGATTCTCCGTCTCTCCATCTCTCTGCTTTCTCTATTCTCTCTTTCTAGTTTCTCTACTCTCATTGTTTCTCACTCTCAGTACTTTCTCTTTCTCTCTCTCCACTTTATTATTCTCTCTCTCTTCTTTCTCTCTTCACTTTATCTAATCTCTCTTCTCCTTTATTCTCTCTCTCTCGTGCACTCTCTGCCTTTTCTACTTTCTTTCTCCACCTTTTCTATTCTCTCTCTCTACTTTCTCTATTCTCTTAATTTCTCTCTCTCTCTCTCCACTTTGTCTATTCGCTCTCTACTTCCTCTAGTCCTTCTTTCTCTCTCTCTCTGCTTTCTGCTTTCTTCCTTCTCTCTCTCTATGTTCTCTTTCTCTCTCTCTGCTTTCTGTTCTTTCTCTTCTCTCCTCTCTTCTCTTTCTCTCTCTCTGCTTTCTCTATTCTCTCTCTCTCTGCTTTCTCTCTTCTCTCTCTCTCTCTCTGCTTTCTCTATTCTCTCTCTCACTGCTTTCTCTCTTCTCTCTCTCTCTCTCTGCTTTCTCTATTCTCTCTCTCTCTGCTTTCTCTCTCTCTCTCTCTCTCTCTCTCTCTC